CGGCCGCCCTTCCGTTCGGGGCGGGGGCAGCTCGGGTGGGGGGGCGTCGGCTCTGAAGCGAATGTGGAGAGCTGCCCCGAGTTTGTTTGGGGGCTGTTTTTATAAACGCGTGTATGGTTTTGTTTTTCGTTTTTTTTTTTTCCTAAGGGGAGCTAGCGTGGTGTTTTTTGGAGGGTTGGATTCGCTGGAGCGTTAGCGGTAGGGTTCTCGAGGGCTGGTCGCGCTTGGTGCGTGTTCCGTGGGTTTTCTTCTGAGCGCGGTTCCTGGCTTAGAGGAGCTGTGTTATTTCTGGTGACTCGTAGTTCCTCAAAGGTAGCTGTTGTTTGCGTTTTGGGAGGCTTACGGGGAGGTGTGCAGGTTGCGCTGGAGGAGGGCTGCAGGCCGGTTGGCTGGATTTCTTCCCCGCGTAGGTTAGTTTTTTCCCCTCCAGTGTCTCTGATGCCAGAACAAGGCCCCAGAATGAACGGTTTCTCTCTGGGTGAGCTATGCTGGCTCTTCTGCTGCCCGCCTTGCCCCAGCCGCATCGCTGCCAAGCTGGCCTTCCTGCCCCCGGAGCCCACCTACACGGTGCTGCAGCCTGAGCAGCAGCAGCAGGAGGCCGGGGCGGCCGCGGGGGCAGGCACCCCGACAGGATCGGGCACCTGCAGCCTGCACTTGAGCGAGCGGGCGGATTGGCAGTATTCGCAGCGGGAACTGGATGCCGTGGAAGTGTTCTTCTCCCGCACGGCGCGAGATAACAGGCTGGGCTGCATGTTCGTACGTTGTGCTCCCACTGGCCGGTACACGCTGCTCTTCTCTCACGGTAATGCCGTGGACCTGGGCCAGATGTGCAGCTTCTATATTGGCCTTGGCTCCCGCATCAACTGCAACGTCTTCTCGTATGACTACTCTGGCTACGGGGTGAGCACCGGCAAGCCCTCTGAGAAAAACCTGTATGCAGACATTGATGCAGCCTGGCAGGCCCTCAGGACAAGGTAAATGGATGTTGGGGGACAAGATATTTCTGCATCTCCATTTAATCCTACTAAGGTCAGCATCAGCACAGCTGACTTGCTGAGAGGTGGAGGGAAAAGGTCTACAGGTGGCTGAGTTATTCTGAGGTGTCCTCTGATGTTCCATCAACAACTACAATGTGATTTGCTGGATGGCTTCATTCGTTGAAAGGATGCCCAAGGCTTCATCCTTGGGCTTTTTCTGAATTCCGGGTCAGTCAGTTTTATTATGCGTTGTCCAGTGCTTCACCATTACGAGTATCCACTGCAAGCAGGAGGTATTCTTTTTGCATGGGTTGCAGTTTGAAATCAGTTTGAGCTTGCAGGATGCAAAAAAACCCTCTTTTGTTCAAGATTTTGCATTGGTGTGAATCTTGCCCACCATTGTCTACACTTGTGAGTTAACCCAGTCAAGCCAAAGCATTGACTGAATTGGCAGTAGCCTAGGCTAGTGCTTACTAAGAAACCACTAGTGTTTTGCCATGCATCTTGAGTTTTCATGCAAGCTTGTATGACATACACATCTTTCTCTTTTGGTAATCAAATAACTGTTATAAAGTTGGCTAGGGGAGCAGAGTGGAAGGGAAGAGTTGACATCTGGAAGTGGAGCTGGGGATCCTGCCAGGAGGAGAAGCTGAATTAGGTGGTGTCCAAAGGGATGGAAGAGCAATGAGAAGACTCTGACAAGGTAGCATGGCAAGTTGGAGCCCAGGGAGCTTGTGACCTCTAGGAACTCCTGAGCAGAGCTGCTGCCTCTGATGGCTCACTACAACCGTCTGTGAGCTCTGGGCCTCTGACTCTCTGTTCACAGAAACCATGAGCTTCATTTGTTATTGCATAGGTACTGAGGTCCTGTAGATGAACTTGGCTTGTATGAAATGAGTGTTTAATATCTGCTGTAGGGAGAGGTGTTTGTTTCACAAATAGTGGCAGGCGTTGTTACTAATTTGATAATTGGCTTTTGAAGGATCCAGGGATTGGTCAGTTGTGGAATCCAAATGACTTTTGACAGTGGTCTGCCCAAGTCAGGTTAAGATCATGGCAGGGAAAGGGTGTGGGGGATATCTTACCATTTCATAGCATAGCGTAGTTTTGTCTGTTTGGTGAGTAATCCAGATTCTGGGTTCGTTTTCTAGTCCCCTACAAAACTCAAAGCATATAAATATTACTTGACTATCAGGAATATATTCTAATTTGAAGAAATAATTTTGATATACTGTATCCAGTATGAAGAATTAAATGTTGTATTAAGCATATGCATGCTGTAAATAAGCTTTAAGGGAGGAAAAGTGTTATGTATAAGCCAAGCCTGGTTAATGCTTGTCCTTCAGTTCTGTGCTTTCTCTGTATCTCACATATTGCTTATTTGATGACTTTTTTTTTTTTTTTTTCCATGAAAGCATTCTAGACCTCTGGAAAAGCTTCTCCATGTCTGGTTGGAACTGCTTGTGTCTTGACAGGCATCTAGTACATGTTTAAGTCCAATGAAGATCCAGAAAGTAGGGTTTCCTTCCTTTCCCTTCCTTCAAGTCCCTTGAAGTCTGATGCAATGGGCAATCCCAACATGTGCTTAGCTTGCTCTGAGGGGACTGGGCTCCTTCTATTAAAGTATGACTGGCAGAAGTCTGATAATTTATATGAGAGTCCTTTCTGTGGTTTATGCAAGATCTAGGTTCCCTTCTCCCCTTAACTTTAGGGGTTGAAGGTTGCCTGCTCCTACCTTGCTATGTTTCTACATCCCAGATCTTAGTGCTATTTTGAGCATCCTATTAGACTAGTTGTGTTATAATTGGTAAGATTTTTCAGGGGCTAAAGGAAATATTACAGTATTTGAGGTGTCCAGTAAAGATTTCAGTTACTGTAAAATGTAAGCTTTTAAAAAAAATCAATAGAATCTGTCCTCTCGGATGATTTTTCTCATAACAAGTATGAGCCAAAACAATAGTCTTCCTCCTTATGAATTCTCTAAGCAGTAACATAAATGTTGCAAGACTTTGATCACTTTTAGCCGTAGTAATAAATCAATGCAGCTTACAATTAAGTGAAAGATTCTACTGTAAGAATGCAAGTCAGACCCTTGATGTGAAATGGCATAATATGCCGTTTCTGTTACAGCGATTCAGTAGTTGCTTCCAAGGGTTTGTGTATATATATGCTTTTGTTCTTGACGCGAATTGCTAATATTTGGCCTATGATCATATGATGGTGGACTGTAATGCAAAGTTAAAAGTGAGATCTTAAAATAGATCAGGTTCACTATGCCATAGAAAAGCATTTAGTTATCTCTAAGTTATGTGGAAATGTGTTGCTGTTCTGAGTCCACCTGCCATTCTACCTGGCAGCAGCAAAGAATCATTAAAATGCTGAAAGTCTTGGACTCTTTTTATTATGCCTGTGAAGTTCAATTGACCTTTAGCAAATATTAGTTTATCAGTAAGTAAATTTGCTGCCAAATTTTAGAAATGGTAATAAACTGACTAATCAAGAATATGACTACAAATTCTTGACCGTGTTGTTCAGGTTACTGAAATGAGGATCTTGCTATCACATAAGCACTGAGGTATCAAACTATATGTAACAAATGATTCTAAAAACATCCTCAGCATTATCAGCTGTGGGTGAAAGATAATCATGCAAATTTTTGTTCAATTTCAATCATCAGCCTGTCTTTAGAGAAGAGATGTGAACTATTCTTTGTTCTTTTACTCTGTATACAAAAACTTATTTTCCTTACTGCTAGCCAAATGATTATTTCTTCTTATGAATAACATGTATTTTTAACTAGCAATTTTACAAATTAATAAATTTGAATGGTAACTGTCTTTCAGCCTAAGAATGATACTGATATATTATTTGTATCTCCTTAGAATGAGTTCATAATAGAGATTCCTTCAGATATCTGTATATCTGTAGGATATATACATAACTGTAGCAATGATTGCTGTTAGTTCCTATAGCAGGTAATAATCATCCAGTATCCCATTTGATTAACAAGTTTCCATCTGGTACCTAAATATTTCTCATAAAAAAAATCTGTAGTTGCTTCAGAACACATTTTTTGTGAATACTGTGTTTTAGGCAGGTTAGTCTGTTTTAGTTTTGCTTTTTCCAAAAGACAAAAAGAATGAAGAGAAGGTGTTTTGGACCCTGTGTTATGTCATGGTCCATGTGGTTTTAAGTTGCTGCTTTTTATTGAGATTAACTCTAAATCTTAATATCTAATTGACTCAGTACAGCATTTACACAGAGTAGCTTGATTTTTTTTTTCCTTTTTTCATGAATTCCACATGGAAAGAGAACTAGCACTTTAATATTAAGAAGACTGGTATTGCTTTAAAGGATACACACTTAGTTTGTGTACTGTACAAACACATAGCTATGACTATTCCTTTAGCTGCATGCTATTCATAATAAAATCAATTTGTATGTTCACTAAACGCTTGGAAAAGATTTATGAAATAGTTTAAAATCCCAGTCAAATGAAAGAAGGCACTACTTTGCCCAAATCTCTGATTCTAAAATGGAACATCAAAGAGGATAATCCATCAGTCCATGTTCTGGATATTGAAAGGAGGTAAAGAATACATAGCTAATAAATTGCTTAGAAGAGCTGTTTTGGTGCATTTAATGAAGTATAGCTTGATATTTATTCCTGGTGCACAATATAATGCATTCTAATATCCTGTTTCTGTTTAAGGTTTTGATAAATGTAGCAATAAAATCTGTTATTTAAATATTTCATTCTCAAAGCATGAACGCTTGGGTTTGTTGCTCAATCCATAAGAGAGCGTTGGTTCACTTCCACTTCTCTGAATAGAAAATTTATAGTCACTAGAACTCATCTTTTTGCCATGATAAAAGGAATTGAACTGTGAAATGGTATAGTTAAATGCAGGAGCTTTTGATAATGGATGGCAGATAGTTTATAATTTAAGCCATTTTTTAAAACTCTTTCCTCGAATGTGATGTTTTTAAAAAATTAAACTTTCATTATAAGGGGTATTTTATTCACAGTGCTGATTCCCCTTCTCCCCTATTGATGTTTCCTTTGCAGGAGTTGGTGAAAAGTGTTGCAGTTTTCTTTTAAGTAAAATCAGGAAACAGATCTAATTGGATTAGTCTAGACTGGTAACTAATCTTCTGAGGTTGTATCAGTTCATAGTCGGTTTCCATTCTGATTTGCTGAGTGGCTACAGCTTCCTAGGTAATAATAGCATCAGTGTTTTTTTCCTGACTTACCAGAAGAGTTTATTTCTCTTCTAATTTCTTTGCAACAGAATCTTTCATTAGCACGGTCTTGCTGTATGTGATCTGGTCCAAGCTCTGAGTATGTCTCAGATTCTTGGACTGAGTATGTCGACACTGAGCTGATTTAAAGATTTTTATTCTACATAGTACCTTGAAACCCTCTCAAAGATTTAGCCTTATTTGCTTCTTCCCACTCAGCATTCCAGGAAGTGTTTAATTGAAGAATTTGTAATATGCATGTTTAGGAAGGTTGGAAGGGCAGGAGTCATGATTTCTTATAGAGAGAAGAATATGAAACATTCAACACCTTCCCGAAATGCTTTATAGTAGGAATAAACTCCCTCAGTGTGCCCACTGCTTTGTGAATGCAAGGGGCATGTGATCTAGTAACTTCTGTTACTTCCAGTGTAACTTTCCAAGAGGTTTTCTGTGCCTATTTTGTTCTGTCACTTGCTACGAATCCCATCACCTTGCTACCACTGAACTTGGATATAACCGTTTTTTGAAAAATATGCTGGTAAAGGCTGTCGGGTAGGTGGGGTTACAGTTTACTGCTGTACATAGACTAAGCACTGAAACCAGAAAAGTATATCTGTAGTTCTCAGTGCAGTGACGTTTTTGCTAATCTGAAAACTTTAGGACTTCACCATTCAGCTTAGTGATTTCTCAAGGCTACTACTCAAGTGTCTACTACTGCAAATCTGTGTTCCTCAGATTAAAATATATATATATAT